TCTCCAGTCCTCGCCCACCCGGAGGCTGGCAATGGTGGTTCTCGTGGAGGAAATGGCTGGAGGGTGGAGACGATGACATGACACCACTCCAAAGTCCCTCCCCTCCTCAAGTCCCACCCTCTCCAGGCTCCACCCCTCAAATGTCGAGGAATTTCCCAACCTGGAGTTGGCAACCCTATTTCCTTCCCACCCAACAGCCAACCTGCCTTTATCTGCCTCTCTGTCTTCTGCTTTCCATCTCCACCCCCCAGCCTCTACCTAGGAAAATTACAGTCTTTCTCCACAGTGGGGACCAAAGCAGCTTTCATTATTCCCTCCTCCTTTTTATCTGCACAACAACCCCGTGAGGTTGGTGAGGCTGAAATATGTGACTGGTCCAAAATCACGCAGTCAGCTTCCACTGCAAGATGGGGATCTGAACCTGGGTCTTGCAGACCCTACTTTGATGCTCTAACTGCTGCACCTCACTGCCTTTCATAGGGTGGCTGCTGATGAATGGTAGCAAGCAGCCGAGGCTAGGTGAGTCATGCAAATCAGGGGGGACCTGGCAACCCTAGACTACTGCCAGGCCTAGAGTCGTTGCCAACCTCCAAATGGGACCCGGAGACCCCCCCAGAATTACAACTGGACTCTAGACAGCAGAGGTCTGTCTCCCTGCAGAAAAGGGCTGCTTTGGAGGGTGGACTCTGTGGCATTATACCCAGCTGAGGCCTCTCCCTTCCCAAACCGAGCCCTCCTTAAAGTCCACCACAAATTCTCTAGAAATCCCCCATCCTGGCACTGGCAACTCTCGTGAGGCCTGGCCCCAAGGCTCCCTCCCTCCCTGAAAGGCTAAAATAGGCCAGGAAAGGGCCCTCCCCCCACCCTTTACTGATAGAGCCAGTTAGAAGCCCCCCCACCCCCGAACATTCTAATCTCTCACCGTTGATGCCTGGAGTTAGCTCCCCCCAAACGTTCTAATCTTTCACCCTTTCCCCCCAAAAAACAATTTATTAGGATATATTAAGAAAAGTCATACATATATCAGAACTTACATTGTTATACATCCTTTCTCCCTTTTCCCCCTCCTCTTTCTGGCTTCCCACAGTGCTCCAACCTCCTGTCCATATCTTAAATTCTCTTCATACCTACTTTTCTCGTTTTTCACATCTACAGCGAACTTATCTTTCAACTCTAATCTCTCACCCTTGATGCCTGAAGCAGATCCCTGCAGAGGCCATTTCAAAAGGTTTTGGGAGAAATTCAGCCGTCCCTGAAGGGATTTTTTTAGTTTTTGGATTTTTCTACAAACCCAGGAAGTCTACTGACTATGTAGGAAAAGCTGTTGGGGGAGAGTGATCCCCCTGTTGGTGGGAATAAGTATCCGCACAGGAGAAAAACCTCTACCTGATAGTATATAGACAAGAAAGGGGACCCGCGATACTCGCGGGGTGGGGTGGGGAGAAGACCTCCACACAGAGCAGGAGGAGGAAGAAGCAGCAACAGGTAAGCCTTCCCCCCTGTCCCCAGACACCAGTGGCACGGCCTGAGTGGCTGCCAGCCACCAAGCCCGCCAATTCCCCCCTCCCCCCCCCTTCCCAGCCCACCTTTCCCAGCGGCGAGGCCCAAGCGACTGCCAGCCGCTGTCCCCACCGATCTCCTCCTCCACCCCTGGCTCCGGCGGTCTTCTCCTCCGCTGCCAACGCCAATCTCCTCCCCCCCCGGCTCCGGTGATCTCCTCCACCGCTCCTGTCGCCGCCAATCTCCTCTCCCACCCCCGCTCCTGAGTCGAGGCCTGAGCGACTTCCAACCGCCGGCCCGCCGCAGAGTTCCCAGAGCGTTCTCTGCGCAAGCACAGGGAATGCTCTTACTTTTTGGGGGATTTAAATATCCCCCCGATATTTTTTCCAAGTTTTCAGATTTTTCTCCACCCCTGGGGACTGCCCCAAGTGTGCAGGAAAATCTCCCTGCCCCCCAGGTGCCCCCGATGTGCTGATTTAGCTATCCGTACGCAGGGGGCAACTTGGGAATTAGATATATACACAAGAAGCAGGACCCGCGATACTCGTGGGGTTGGTGTATTGGCCACGGCTCCCGGGCTGCTAAGGCTTCTCCCCACCACTGCTACCCACAACAACAACAGTGGCAAACCCTGTCAGGTGCACCAGGCTTCTCTCTCTCCCCCACCGCCGCGGCAACAATTGGCTCAGCTCTGACAGTGGCAACGGCTGTGGCTCCTAGCCGGCACCCCCACCGCTTCTCCACCCCCGCTGCCACCACCAGCACCAACCACGGTGAGCACTGCGTGGCTCTGCCACAGATCTCAGGGGTAAGTGCGTTCTCTGCGCATGTGCAGGGAATGCTTTTTTACTTTACCTTTTTTTTAACTTTTCAGATTTTTCTGCACACCTGGGGACTGCCCCAAGTGTGAAGGAAAATCTCTGTGCCCCCTATGTGCCCCCGATATGTGGATTTAGATATCCGCACGGAGGGGGCAACTTGGCTATTAGATATATAGATATGGAGCAGAGGTCCATCAGTGGCTATTAGCCGCAAGGTATAGATAGGGACTCTGGGGCAAGTGATGCTCTGCTGGGGCAAGTTATGCTCTGCCTCCCTGGTGCTTGGGGGGGGGGAACCGTGGGAGGGGCTTCTAATGTCCTGGCCCCACTGCTGGACCTCCTCATGGCACCTGGTATTTCTGGCCACTGTGTGACACAGAGTGTTGGACTGGATGGGCCTTTGGCCTGATCCAACATTGGTGTCTCTTCTGTTCTCATGTTCTTAAAGGCTGAAGACTAGGCTGAGACTGAACTCCCCCCCTCAGGAGCCAAAACCTTTATCTCCTTGGCCCCGCCCCTAGGGTGTGTCCATCTTTTCCCGCTCTTTTCCCTCAGGGCTCCTGGGAAGTGTAGTCAGGGAGGTATGGCAGCTCCATTGTTCCCTGTGGAGCACCTCCCCTCTCCTAAGGACTACCAGGCTGGCCTCAATTTTAAGGTCCTGCTGCCTCTGCCTGGCAGCCATTTCGTCACATGCTCTATGTAGGCTTACCGTTGATGCTGACCTGGAAACTGCAGCCGGCGCAAAATGAGGCGGCACACCTGTTGACATCGATGACTATGCTGGCCCGTGTCCCCGCCAGCGGCATTGGTTGCCGGTTGACTTCCGGATTCACTTCAAGGTGCTGGTAGTCATCTTTAAAGCCTTACGCGGCCCAGGACTCACACACTTGAGGGACCGCCTCTTCCCATGTGCACGCCCTGAAGAGAACTGTGTTCCACGGATCGACACCTCCTGGTTGCTGCCGGCCCAAAGGACGTCCGTCTTCCCTCGGCCAGGGCCTTTTCTCCGCTGGCCCCTGCCTGGTGGAACTTGCTCCCAGCCGAGATGAGGGCCCTGCGGGGTCTCCTTCAATTCCGCAGGGCCTCTAAGGCGGAGCCGTTCCGCCAGGGCTTCGGCTGAGGCAGCGGGTGTCCCCCGGTACGGCCTCCCTGAGGTGGTTGTCGGCCATCCGCCTATCCCTCCATCCCTCAACCTAAATAATAGGCCAGGGAACCCCATGGCCAGCTCATTTGTTAGATCTGTGACTGTGTTTTAATGCTCATTCTTTTAATAGTTTCAATTTAATTATATTTATGGTATGTTTTCTGACGTTACCCGCCCTGAGCCCGCTTGCGGGATGGTGGGGGGTGTAAATATGCTACTGAGCATTACTTGTGCATGGTTTCAAGAATCAGAAACTGCTTTTCTTCATAGCAGCCTCCCTCCCTCCCTCCCTCCC